GGCTTGAAGAGCGTGCGTGCAGCAGGGCCGAGCGACGGCGGCGCGGCGGCGTGCGGGATGGGGCGTGGTGGGCGGACGGCCGCCGTCCGCACCTCGAGCACGTGCAGGCGCCCGTTGCCGATGATCCCAAAGTTTTGGGCGGTCGCCACCGCTAGCCGCGACTCCACAAACGGCGAGAACTTCACGGAGTATCCATTAAATGTTGTGTGAAAGCGCGGCATCGCTGCTGCCGCGCCTCGCCGTGGCGGACGCCGGGGCTGGTGCGGCGTCGGCGCGCGCTGCTGTGCTGTGCTGGCGCGGCGGGACGTGCGGTGCGCTGGACCCGCTGCCGAGCAGGCGCACTGGTGATAAAATCGAAACTTTCGCGTTCGAGTTTGTGTTTGCGGTTGTGCGCTGCGCCTACGATATGACTTGCGCGCAGGTGATATAGAGTCTTGTAGACGCTAACTGTTGAGCAGGCTTCTGCGCAAATGTTTTTGCTCTGAATACTCACACGTCCGAGAAGCGAACGGTGCGCGCGGGAACAGACGTGCGCAGATCAGCGTGATCTCGGTGACGCCTGCTTTTCCAGAGCACCAACGAAATCACCTGCCAGCCGAAGCCAGTAGATAACCGGTGGGCGAGGTGCTGACCCCGCTTGCGCAGTGATTGGCAAACACCCCAGATGTCCAGGGTCGCAGGGGTTGACTGCGTGGTTGACCAAAGGTGGCGCCTTGATCGATCCGGCGTGCGCCGCAGCCAGGAGAGCCGCCGTCCCAACTCCATCAAGTGCTGCTGCCGCGCCCACTGCCACTGAATGGGGCGGGGCTGACCTCAGACAAGTGGATTACTTCAGACATGGCCAAAGCCTTTACTTGGGCATGAAACCAGTGCAGCTCAGTGTGTAGCACAAAGTGATCGTGTGCCATGCACAGTACCCTGCTGCGCGTGCTTTGCACATCGATGGCTTCAGTGCTGCCTGATGCCTTGAGCACGCAGGGGATCTGAAGCGCGCGGCTTCTTATACACCAATCATATATGAACACTTCAGGTTCAAAAAGCTGCGGGACATCTCTGCTGAGTCACGAGCACGTTGACAGGGCGTGGATCAGCTCTGCCTCTCCTCCTCCATTTCCACAACATGGCAGCCGCCGCCCGACCCCAAGAGCGAGTGGCAGACCCTATACAATGCGATCGCCCTCTCCTCTTCTTGCGCCCGCTCCCGCCGCCGCTGCTGCCGCTGCTGCCGTTCCTGCTGGCCGAGGTCAGCGCCCGCCGCGGCGCCGCCGTCGGCCGCAGCTGGCACGCCCAGGGCGGCCACCGCGCGGTCCAACGCGTCGAGCAGCGACTGCGCCGCCGGCCCCCCCTCGAGCTGCCCCTGCAGCAGCAGCTGCTGCACCTGCTGCACCAGGCGCGCCCTGGCCACGAGCTCGGACGCGTCCGAAAACGTGAGATCGGGCTGCTGCTGCTGCTGCTGCTGCTGTTGCTGCTGCTGCTGCTGCTGCTGCTGCTGCTGCTGCTGCTGCCGCTGCTGCCGGTGGTGGTGGCTGGGCTGGCTTTGGTGAGCACTGGATGTCCCACCGCCACCGGGGAGCAACATCATCCAGGCGGCGGACGGCCAGAGGCCAAGGGCCGGCTCGCCAAGCTCGCCCTGCCACCCTGCCACCGCCCCCAGTTGCCGCCAGCACGCGTCGGTCGCCCAGAGCTCTGGTGGTAGCGGCGGCGGCGCGTCAGCCTGCCCCACGGGAACTGTCGCCGCCGGCGCATGTCCGTCCCCGCCAGGTGTGCCGGCGCCACTTCGCAACGCGGCACGGTCTGGGGTGAAAAATAGCGATGCAGGAGGGAGTCGGCCTGGGGTCTGGAGCACTGGTGGCCGGCCCGGCGTCGGAAGGGGGCGAGCGGAGAAATGTGCAGAGCAGCGCACGCAAAAATCCCTACTCTGAAATGCACGAGCGGCAAGCACCCGTCGGCTGAACGTAGGGGTGATAACGCGCCCAGGCGGCGCACCTGACGCGCCAAGGACGGCCCTGAAGCACCTGTTTCTCCACAGCACCGCCGCCTGCGCCAGCCCCTCCTCTCCCGCC